ATATATATATATGAACCAACTCTTATTTCTCTTTTGAAATAACTGATTTAAAATTCATAAACTATAATCAAACTACTTATGTAGACTACAGTACTTGCTAAAAACAACGTTGAATTAGAAAAATTAATCAAGCAATGTCGTTTTCTTTCACTCGTTACAACCATAGTGCTAATTTCTCATTTAAAAACCTAATGAACGAGATTCCGTAAGCAACTAACAAATGCAAACAATAAACCTGTGCATCCTGTTTTCACACAGCTTTGGAAATGTTTTAAAAACCTAGAAATTAACTATTTAAAATATCTTTGTGAGCAAGATGTATGATGAAGCACCAAAAAAACGACAACAGTTGTTATCCAAATCTGTTGCAGCGGTGTATTTTCATAATCTAAATTTGAGATTTAAAAACAAAAAAAAAAAAAAAAAACATTCAAAAACTCGCTAAAAGATTCATTTAAACTATTTTAAAAGTTTTTCAAAACTTTTAGCGAAACAGCTAAATAAGTTATGCAGGATTTTTCAATTCAATAATGAAACTCAAATATTAATATATACTTGTAAACGCTTACTACAGACTTAAATTTCTCACCAAACTTCTTCATAGCAGCAAGTTAACAGAACACTTCTATAAAAAAAACTAAGATCACTGACAGCATTTTTTGCTAGAAGCCCTAAAACAGTCTACAAAACCATTAATTTTCATCGCCTCTTCAGCTCAAAAAAGTCAACAGAAACTCCTCAGATAAGTTAAGATATTCTAAGATGATCACAGCTGATTGACGTCAAAAAATTCTTTCCTGGAATTACAGAAACTTTCGATCGATATCTTCTAGTCCCCCAATGCTAAAGTTTATTACCACATTTTTATCTGTTAAACTAAATTTAACTGTTGCAAAAAATAAGCTTCCTGCAAATTTTAATTTTTCTCCAGTATTTCGTTAACCCGTCTGATCAATTGTGCTCCAATAACATTTAGAATCAAAAGAATGTTTTTCCTTTAGTGAAAAACACAGATTCACTAAAAATACTTAAACTGACCCACAAAAAATAGTCAGCTTTAAGTTTAAACGTGTAGAGCTTTAAAAATCCGATAGTCTTTTTTAAAGCTATCACTCGATCAATATTCAAAAATACCCCGTAAAAAATCCTAATGAAAATTTCTGAAGCTACTCGTTAGCGACAATGACAAAAAAATTAGTTTAATACCAGATAAAAACTCGTTCCCAGCAGGAAAAAAATGTTGACTTTAATTTTTGAAGACTTAAAAGATTGTCTCAATGCCTAAAATAATGAAACATATCAAAATAACAAATTAAATGTAAAAAAAAAAGTAATAACTTTTTTTAGCCGTAACCGAATTTTTCCATTCGTGATGACAAAATAAATAGCAAAAAAGGCCATATTTTGATGCAATGAGTAACCTCAATTAATTTAGGTACTGGAATACCATCACATACATGCAGGCATGAAAACAAAGGTGATAACCTCATCAAATAACTACCAAACATAACAACCTAAACCTTGAAGCAGGAAAAATGCCTCCCATCCTACGAAAATTGATGATAGCAATAAAGATCGTCAAAAAGAAAAAGCTTCATAAATAAGTTTAGCATAAAAAAAAGTGCATGGTCACGCCTCTCTTTCAAGGCTCTTTGTTGATGCATCACAAATAGCTAACTATTTGGATAAAAACGACATACTTTACATACGAAGGCGACAACAAAGTATGAGTTCGATTAACAAAGTGCTTCGGTGATTATTTATTAAAAACAATACTTAAATACATTAGCTTTTCACGATATTCGATATTATTAATTCTCTAAAATGTCATCCGATCAAATTAAATACACAAACAACAAACTATAAAAAAGCTTTAAAAAATAGATTTAGAAATGCT